AGCTTTCCTGTTCTTGGCGGGTATATTCAGGTCCACTTCACCCATTTGGGGAGGAAATTAAGACCAATTTCCTTAAGTATACAAGCTCAAGGGCAAGCAGAGGTAACAGGGAAGTTTTCTGGGAACACTGTGGATGAGCCAGAGATTTAAAAATTGCAGGTGAGATTGCATTCAGACAAAAAGAGCGTCACCTCTGAGTGCTCAGGCGACATGACAGCATTCACTCTGCTGTCCAGTGAAACTCAAGAAAATCAAGCCCAGAAACGAAACTGACTTCTGTTCAGCACACACCTCTCTGTCCGTTTGCCGAATGCCTAAGTTAGAGCTGGTGGCCTCAGGTGACCTCACCACATCTTTGGAAAGAGTACATTTAAGTGAAGGAGGGACCTCAGTTGTCCCTTCTCATCAAGATGTCATCACAGGTACAGAGTCTCACTGCCACCAGAGAGTTGGCAGGCCAGTGGCCGGGCATGGGGCTCTGCAGCAGCCCCTCACCTGCGTGCAGGTGTGCTGAGCCAAGCACATGTCAGTAGCTCCCAATACAGAGGGCAGGTTTGGGGACACTTTCTAAGAGTAAAATTACCCTGAAGTAATTTAATGGTACATAATAATATCTGTCAGAGAAGGTTGAACATCATGCATGTAACAAATTTATAATGAGGCGAGGTCCTGCACTAAGTGCTAAGAATACAAAGTTGAGTAAAAGCCAACCAGCAGGGAAATAATTGGAAATTAGATTATAAACAGACATTTTAAAAATCTACACTAAAAATGAAATTGTCCTCCAGAATTTCAGTAGGAAAAGACCTCATGGTTGGGATGAAATGGTGGGTTTGAATTTAAAATGATCAGAGTGGTGGCCCCCCCACCCCCGAATGTGCCAGCAGCTTGGTGCCACGCACACTTGAGCCTAAAGCTCCTCCTCTCGTTTTTCTAAAGTAAACTAGAAAAAAAATTTTAAAGTCTCATTTGACTTACCTGCTAGGCTACGTCTTTCTAGTTCCCCAAGGTCATGTGCCAGTGAGCCTGCTGACAATCAGTAGTAGGACTTTATTTCTTATATATAACTTTTATTTGTCACATTCTTATTTTATCACAACCTGGGCACTTAAGCACTTGGCTGAATTTGATCTAATTATTAAACCTTCGGGTTCACAGCCAGTGCATATGAGTATTTAATCTTTGTTTCTTGATATACACATAATATGAGAAAAATTATGCGAGCCAATATTTTACAGTTGTAAAATATTGAAGTTGTACAGTTACATACCGTAGCAGGGAGTATAAAGAGATTTTAGATTGTAAGAGGCCTTACAGGTGGAGGACAGAGCCAAACTCCTTTGATGACAATAGCTGCAGTCCTGTACTCCAGGTTACATAGAAACTATAGAAATAGAGCTTGGTGCAAATCTTTCTGGGCTTCAGTGGGGTGACTCAGCCATCTAGAAGCATAACCCAAGAATGCGTCCAGTAAGTGCTTACTGCACACAAAGACGCACGAGAGGAGGCGGGTCAGCAGCTGTCACAGGGTAGAGCTGGGTGTCACGCCCACTGGGCTCTTGTTCCCCAGAGGGCTGGGCAGTGGAGGGACCCTAGTATCTTAGAGCTGCCCGCCTTCCTGCTCTAGTGACCACCCGGCATGCCCAGGGCAAGCCAGTGAAGCCTGGTGAGGTTGAAGCTGAGTTTATGGAGCAGGGACAGGCCCCCACGTGCACTCGGATGCTGACACATAGGTATGTTTGGGGAACTGCTCAGGGTTCAGGGTCCTGGGGTGAAGATGAGTGTGTGGGCTCAGGGTCAGAACTGTGGCCCTGTGGCAAAATCCCTCTGGTTGTGGAGTGCGCTGAGGGGGTGGGGGCTGGGTGGTCAGGCGGGAAACCTGTGTAAAAGCTTAGCTGAGGACCACAGATGATTTGAATGAATATAGACAGCCAGGAAAGAGACTAAGGGAGATTTTACATGTTCCAGAGGTAAGCGAAAAGGGGGGAGAGTGCGTGTGTGTGCACGCGCTCAGGGTGGATGCAGAGAGTTAGAACAGAGACTTGGTGTCAGAGGCTGTACTAGTTTGCCAAGGCTGCTGTAGCAAAGGACCACAAACGGGGGGTAGGGGTGTTAAACAACAGCATCTCAATCTCTCTGGGTTCTGGAGGCCAGAAGTCCGAGGTTACGGATTCCTTCTGAAGCTGTGAGGGAGCGTCCACTCCAGGCTTCCCCTGCCACTGCGGGCATGCTGGTGATCTTTGGTGTCCCTGGGCTTATAAAGCTCTGCCTTCATCTTCAACAAAAATCTTCCTTTTGTAAGGATACCAGCTATTGGATTAGGGGCCCATCATACTCTGGTATGTGGTCAGCTTCACTCAGTACATCTGCTCTAATTTACTAGCAAGTAAGCCCGTTCTGAGCTACTGGGTGTTAGGACTTCAGCATACGAATTTGGGGGGGCTGCAGTTCTACCCATAACAGGAGGTGGTGGGGGACTTGCATGAAATTATTGTTGCTCTTGTAGGTTATGATAATTTGTAACTTGACAATTTGTGTACCACTGGGACTTGGGGGGTGTTCAATGATTGCTGGGGTTCTCAAAATACCCGCTGGCTCACCCAGGACCCCAAGCCATCATGTAGGGCCCCCGGAGCTCCGCCCTGTGCCCACCAAGAAACTCTGCTTCCCTCATTATTTGCAAAGTGTTGCCTGGAGGAATTGTGGACTTACCACCTTGAAACTGCTTAACTCTGTGCACAAATATTTTCCCATGACTTGAGCGCTTTGAAAATCTGTATTAGGCCTAACGGTCAACACACATGCTCGGAAGTGTTGTTTCTTGGGCTGTCACTCAGGGGCCCATGAAAATGGGAAAACGTCTGGATTGAGACACTGGGAATTGTGGGAAATATGTGTCAAACTTCTATACAAATTCCTGTCGCCCTCCTCTTGTTCCTCTAAGTGTGAAGGAAAGGCTTTTCCCCAAATAAGGATGACTAGGGTCCCTTTCAGAAGTCACTTTTATAGAAGTTAATCTTGCTCATCTTACCAAGAAATAGGTTTGCAACATCTCTTTTCTAAAAAGTTAAAAAAACAACAACTGATTACTATTAACAATTTCTGTAAATTTTTCTATTGCAAGTAGGTATATTCAATGTGAAATGTACCATCTATGAAAGCGAGTGATAACCTTGGCAGGAATTTTGAATAACACTGACTGCATTGCTCCCTGGGGCTGGGACCGTCCCCCAGGGCATGGTTGTCCCATTTTACAGACAGGGTCACTGAGGCAGAGAGGTGAACAGAGAAGGCAAAGTCACTGCTGCTGTGTGGCAGCCCCAGGATCCACACAGAGCCAGTCCAGCATCTGCCACGCAGGTGGGGGTGCTTCTGTTCTGTGCCCCGCGTGTCCTCCTAGCTTGTTTAATCATCATGACGGCACCCCTGCGCGGTGTGCTGTCCTCCTACGAGGATGTGCAGGCTGGAGCCGCAGTTCGCCTCGATCCGGGACGCAGTCGGTCTCTGTTCCGTCTCCCGTGGGATGGGGCTCCATCTGGTGTTCTCTGCAGACACTGCCCTCTCCTTTCAGTGGTGGCCAGGGCAGGGGCCAGAATGAGATTTGTTTCATTTTACTGTTGGCAAGTTTTCTTTGGTTTTAATGTTGAGCAAACCGAAAACCACAAAAAGCAAGTGCGTTTTCCCGCCCCAGCAGTACCCAGGAAGGTGCGAGAGCGGGGCCAACGGTGTATGCACGCTCACTTAGAAAGCTGCGTTCGGCGCCCCGCCTGCAGCCCACTGGGAGACCCCGAGCGCTTCTAGAGGTGGGGGGCGGGGGCGGAGACTCTTTCTTCTGCTTCTCAGGGGCCAAGATGGCCCAGACACAGGACTCTGGATGGAGGGTCCCCACCGTCAGGGAGGGCCACTGTGGCTAAGGGCAGATGTGGCTTCTCTGGGCTGGTGGGGAAGCCTGCCCGCAGATGTGGCTCTCCAAAGCCCAGTCATTTGGGATTTAGATGATGTTTCTAGAAGGTGTCTGCCAAGGAGCGGAGAATGAGCAGGTACTAATGTGTTCCCCTCAAAGAGAGGCCCAGTGGGGTTCACTAGAGTGGACTCGGCACCCAGATTGTCTTTGGAGGTAGCAGAGGCACCCAGAAGTGGACATACTTCCTGCTGTCCAGGAGAAGCCTGGCGGGCTGGTCAGGACACCGCGGGGAGGTGCGCGTGGCAGTTGCATGGCCTCGCCACCTGGGCGGGTGAGGGGCCAGGAGCACCAGCGGCAGCCCTTGCTGCCGTCCCATGGCCGACCCCGCCCTCTGTGCCCCTCGCCCCACAGCGTCCCGGCAGGGTCCCTGCTGGCTTCTCGCTAACCCGACATGACCTCTAACGCCTCTTGGTCACCAGCTCACCGCTCTGTCTCCACCTGTGCGGAGATGCCATCGTAGTTTCTGTCTAACCTGTGTGTAGTAGTCAGCATCCCCCTTCTCGTGACCTGTGAATACAGAAACGCCATTCCCGTGATGTTCTGTGTTTTCCTTTCAAAAACTGGGTTTCTCTTGAGGAGAATACAGGTTCTCAGCCCTGGAATTTATGAACACGTTACAGATTAGGCACCTGTTAAGCGTGAAAAATTCATTTCAGCTTTGTGAACCCAACGAGAGAATGACAGCCTCAGCGTTCTCTGCTTCTGAACTCGGTATGGAAGCGTTCCCAGTGAGAGAGCCTTCCTGGATTGACGCACAAAGCCTGCATTAAAATTCTACCCTCCTCAGCCATGGCTGATCTGGCGTCGCAGGGGAGGCTGTGTATTCTAACTAGAAATGAACGTGGGTTCTTTAAGACAAGTATTTAAATCCGAGTTCAGTGGCTCTTTTAAAATCCAGTGGTCACTGGTCCTAAATGCACAGAGCTGCGTCCAGGGCCACAGCCTAGGGTGTATTTTTCCGCAAGCGAAGCCCACGTCTGTTTGCCCTCCTCACTCTCTGTCTTTCCTGCATAACAAGGCTCTTTATGTGTGGCAGGTGGCAGATTCAAGAAAGAGATTGTTGTTGACGGGCAAAGCTACCTGCTGCTGATCAGAGATGAAGGGGGCCCCCCCGAGGCGCAGGTGAGTACCGCGCGCGAACCGGAGGCCCGGCCCCAACTGTGTCCCTCAGTTCTGGTCCAGCAGGGGGTTCCAGGAATCAGCGAGGGCCCTCGAGAAAGGGTGGCGCAGAGGCCCCATGACGATGTGTCCCACATTCCGTTTCCTTCAGATAAAATCCTAGAGGGAAGTTAGGTCTGTGTGGATGGTTTTCTTTTCATTTTGTGTTTTCGAGGAGGAAGGAAAAGCAGAATCGCCACTCGTTTGCCAACTCAGTTGGTTTGACATCTGGAAATTTCTGTAGTTATACCCCGCTGTCCACCCTCCCCACCCCGTCAGGGGTCTGACCTCTAGAGCGGGAGGATCATTCCTGGGGTGCTGCCGTGCGCCTTGCTGGGCCTCTGGGCTGAGCAGGTCTCCCCTGAAAGCTGGTGTACGGGACGATGGATTTCTTTGAAACTCCCTTTAAAGCTGGGCATTCTGGAAATAAAAAAGCATGAGTGTAGACTCTCTTTTTTTGTTTACTTAGTCTCCAGTTTATTATTTCACTTACATACTAATTTTCTAGCCAAACACACGTTGTGAGCTGAATCTAGTAAAAAATGCCTGGGTCGCCTCACTTAGTCCTTCAGACGACTGGTGAGATGGTGTCCTGAGGAGTCCCGTCTTCACGGACAGGAGTGAGGTCTTGCCCACGGTTGGATGTGGTGATGGACACAGACCCAGCTGGTCTGCCTGCTAATGGCACCAGTGCTCGGGATCGGGGTAGGACCAGGACCCCCGGAGAATCCATCTTGGCCTTTGACCATGAGAAAGTGTTCACTTGGTTTTCCCAGGGATCAGCCCTTTATTCCAGCATGCTTCCTTCAGAGGAGTTATTTATAGGCCTAGAAGCTTACCCTAGTTAAAAATCTCTACATTACTGAATATCAAGATGGAGCATTTCAAAATGATGGACAGGATTTCGTATAATATTAGGCACAGTGTATTTGAATATTCAAGGAAAAAAACATTTTCAAGTTCCCATTCCTAGGCATGTGTAAATATGATCTTAGGTTTTCATTATTTCAGATTATTTCATGCAGTCTACCCAAAAATAATGCCTTCATGAATGGAATTTTAAGACATTTTGGGGCTATGAGTGTCATCCTGTGGTAGTCTAAGAACTGCCAATTAACCGGCTTTTTGGGCAGTTGGTCAGGGGAGCCCTTGGGGTGGGTAGGAAAGTGTTTATTGAGGGCTCACCACCTGCTAGGTTCTGGGGCAGTGAGAATGCACCCTTGAGAGACTGGGATGGGGTTGGCATTTCCCCTGCATGGAGGACGTGCAGACGGCTGTCAGCTTTGGTCTCGGGAGATGGAGTGTGGCTTTGGGGGACGACAGGTGCTCTTCGGTGCTGGTGTGTGTGGGGAAGCTGACTCCTCCCTGACTCTTGGAAGAGAAAGACTTAACCTCAAGGTAGACAAAGGGAAAAGGAGATGCCCTCTGCCAGCCTGGGTCCTGGGTCTCTCTGGAGGGGCATCAGGTTTTCTCAGGCCTGTCCCAGGATTCATTCTCAGTTCTCATTCTTGTTTAATTTTATATTTGTTATTTGAACTTAAGGCTCATTTTAATAAATTTCATCCCATAAAATTTTTGCATGTAACTGAATAGACTTTTCAGTTACATGTTGAAGTCAGAGCTGAACCTACAAAAAAATTTCCCCAAATGCATTAGAGCTGATACATTGGCCATAAAAACTTACCTAAGAACTGTGGCTCATTTTTAGAAAGCAAACAGGATTTTTTATTTTTTTCATTTTCACTTGGAAAGGGGGGATGGACGAGGGTCTTTGGTGCCAGCCTGACCTGCTTTCCATTCTGGGGTTGCAACTGTGTGTGACTCTGAGAAGCTACTGAAAGCTTCAGGGACCCTCTGTTCATTAATCTCAGCCTTACAAGATGGTTTTGAGTATTAAAGGAGATGATGCATGCCTGACAATATGGTTATTTGTCCAAAAGAGGATTTGATGTAGGCTCATCTGGATGCAGGTAAACAAGAATAAAATGGCAAGAATCAGGTTGTTGTAGGTTTTTAGTTTCTCCCCCCAATTTTTGTGAAGTTTAGTTTTGTTAATTTTTCTAACAGTTAATACTAATATTTTGAACATGCGATAAGAGTTCAGCAGCAGCTGATATTTACAGATACGTCTGGTGACAGACGACTAGGCCGTCAGCGTTGGAGCAGGACTTCGGAGCAGCCTGTGAGCCCCAAAGGGCAGCCCCCATCTCAGAGGGGTCCAGCAGGGCTTCTGCAGGGGACCCTGGAGGGGAGTTGAGTGGGAAACAGAAAGCTTCAGGGTCATTTTTGAGCCTGTCCTCAGATTTTTGAGAGGCTCTGGTGTGAGGTGGGTTTGCCTTCTGTTTGTAGGACTGAAGCTGGTTGAGCTGGGCCAGAGGGCAGACGTTCGTGTGGGGAAGAATGTATAGGTTGCGTTCTCCGGAGACTGGAGTGGCCTGGGTGGGCAGGGAAGGAGGGTCCCACTTCAGCCACGTTATTATATGATGAGAAGGCTGTTGGCGAAACCACCCCAGCTTGTGACAGCCGGAGTCAGGCATCCGATGAGGCCTGGCTGAGGTGGTCTGCCTGCCACGCGCCCCGCCCTCAGGAAGACACGTCGTTCCAGACCTTTCTCCCTAGAGCCTTCACACCCAATTCCTCTGTCCTCCCCCCTTATTTTCTCCCTAGTTCGCCATGTGGGTGGACGCCGTTGTGTTTGTCTTCAGCTTAGAGGATGAGATAAGTTTCCAGACCGTTTACCACTACTACAGTCGGATGGCCAACTACCGGAACACGAGCGAGATCCCTCTGGTTCTGGTGGGAACCCAGGGTGAGTGATCTGTGCGCACAGGTGGCGGTTCGAGGCTTCCTACAGCTGAGCAGTAAGTGGATTCAGGGTCTATATTTTCAGTGTGTCAGAATTTGAAAATTTTTCAAAGAAGATGTAATTTCACAGAAGGCTCGCATTTTGCAACGAGAATCCATGTCACTGATTTGTCACATTTCCTGATTGGATTCTATGGAGAAATCACTTAGCACCCCAAAAACAAAACACATACACACCCTTTGTGCTTTAGAAAAAAGTAAATCTATTTTGTGTTCTATTATGTACTAGGATATCTTAACTCTCTGTTATATAAAACAATTTATAAGTAATCTCAAAGATTATTTTAAGTGTGCCTTTAAAATAATACTGATACCTGACATATATCTGATCTTTGTTTTCCTCTGTTCTGTTTGTTAAATGTCCTACGATCTGTGTCTTATTTTTAATTTAGCAGGTCCCTCAGGGAATATAAAATCATAGCCACAGGAGCACATTTCTTGTTTTCTTCCACATCACTTAAAACATGGTCTCTTAGTAAACTGACATCACTTAAAGTGTCCTTGCTCTTGATCACAGATTCCCTAAGGTACTGGCATCTGTCTACCATGTGAGTCTTAACTGAGAGGTCACATAGAGTGTTCTGAAAAATTAGATCAAGGTTAACTTTAAAACCGCTTGGTCAGAACTATTAGTAGCTTAAAAATAATCATGTCAAGAAAAATTGGACTCTGCCTTCATTTTTCTGTTCATACACTGTGTTTTGTTAATTCCTTCAGAATTGGCACATTTGGTGTGCCTTTCCATGCCCTGATGTCAGACTTCCCTCCCTAAGAAACTAGCTGTTGGACAGAATCACAGTAGCTGTGTGCGTGGTACCAGGTCTGGTGTAACTGGGAGCCAGCCCAGCCCAGTAGCAAGCTGCCTTGGGAATCTGCTTGGCTAAGCCCAGAGCGTGGGGTGGGTTTGTGTTGGGAGAAATAAAGTACATGGGATAAACTGGAAGCCTTTTCTCAGTATGCTGGATAGAAAATGCTGGGAGTTAGGTTTTCATGTGGGGCACACCCCCCGCCTTCAGAGCAGGTGGAGATGGAGCCTAATAGCACGCGGACAGGGTCTGTGTGCCCAGCGCGCCCCCTAGTGGTCACCGGGGAACGGGCGCGCCAGTGAAAGTCTTTGGATCTCGCTCTAGTCCTGAAATTAGTATATTTAAGTTGGCTTACTGAAATTTCCTAACAAGTAGTGTTTTATAGGGGTAGCTTACCTAAAGCAGGTCTTAGGTAAAGCTGCCTTGAAGTGATGCCTTTCCAGAAAGCGCCTGTTCCCCCTGGTCCAGCCAAGGGTGTCCATGAGCAAAGTCAGACTGCGTGTAGGCATCTCCGTACAGGCTGCCCAAGTTTCAGGCTTTGTATTTAAGACTTAGAATGTGTTTTTGCTGTGGATCCCCCGTGATAAGGACCAGGTACGTTTTCATTCTAAGCCAGAGGTCATTGACCCGTTGGCAGTCTGTCTTACACACCAGTGTTCTGATAGTAAAGGAGTGGAGGCCCGGGGCCGGGGCGTCACTGCCTCCTGGCTGCGGGACCTTGAGCGCTGCCTCTCAGGGCTCTGGTAGGGGTGAAATGGAGGAATTCCTGTAAGGCACTTGGAGCCTCAGTTGGCACATAAGCATCAGATAAGTTATCTTTGCTATATTCTAATATATGGCCAGCTTTGCTCAAGTCCTGGCTGGGGTGGAACTGTGTTCCCAGCAGCTGTGTTCCATCCCTGCTGAAGGGGGCCGGGCCACTCCTCCCGCCGGGATGGCCGCTGCCACAGAGGCTCTGCAGAAGCCGTCCTGTGGTCCCGAGTGGAGGAACCTACCCTGTCTGTTCTCTCATGTGATGAGCGTCTGTGATTGAGGGCTGCATGTCTGAAAGGCTGCAGGTGAGTGTGAACAGGGAGCACAGGTGGAGGAGGACACATTTGCCACCTCCTCCCAGTCATCTGTGAGACAGTGTCCAGACCTCAGCTTAGCCATGTCCCAAAAGAACAGGAGAGCATTATCAGCCAGGAACATTCTGCACCCGAGGAATCCTCCTGGTCCTCAACCAGACTTCTAATTCCCAGAGTGCCTAGAAGCCCCAAAGGTGAGAAGGTGGAATGGGTATAGGCTTCTGGAAGGTTCTACTCTTTCATATTTGTTAACTGCTGGCAGACTTTTCTGGGAAGCCTGCTGTTGGTCATCTTTTACCAGAGATACAAGGCAGGTCAGGTTTGGGTAAGGGAATCTGAACTGTCTCCACTGGGGTGGAGTGGCCTCTGGTAGAAGGCTATGGGATGGTAACGAGGCATTCCTGAATGCAGTGCTTAACGTGACGTTTGTTAAACAGGTTCTGTTTTAAAGGCTTGCAGGTGAAATTGATTTGAGGGAGAGGCATGAGCTATAAAAAGATGTGGAGTTGCAGGTGGAATGAAAAATGGTTGTCCACCCAGACTGGAGTATAGACTGCGGGTTGACCGGGTCCTTTCTGTGAAGGGACAGTGCCTCCTGGAGGACGAGATGGGATACACATGAGGTGGGCATCCCGCTGAGCAAGGGGGGCTGTGCAGGTGCTGGTGACCCAGGTCGGGATAGACTGTCAGCTGGACTGATACTGTGGTCTGTATTTTTCGAAATTATATTAGGCATTGAAAATTTATGGATTTCTAGCTTTTTTCTGTTTTCTTAAAATATGTTTATACCTTTAAAACATATTTCTTTTCCTTAAGTATTGTGAAATTCAAGTCAGATGTATCAGTCTACAAGACAGACAGGGCAAGACGTTCTTTGGAGAAATCCCTGTCACAGGCCTTGCCAGGAAACGTCCTGAATATCTATTAAGGCATCTAAATCGGAGTTAGTTTCCCTTACAGAAATGAAGACTGTCAGGTCAGACGTTAGGGCTTAGAAATAAAATAGGAAAGAAGAGAAAGACGTAAAAAGTGAATAAACCATTTCCTCAAAAAGCCACTTCCTTTTTTATATTTCAAAACATTAAATGCCAGATGCACTTTCTGTGCAAAAACAATATAAAAGGCTGTTGCTGTCTTACGACTTGTACTAATGCTTCTGTTCCTTTAACTAGTTGAGAAACTCCTGTTGGTGGGTTTTCTTTAGAGCGCTCACTGAGCGTTTTCTGGAGCATTAGAGCCTCAGGAAATTCCACTTTGGGAAAAGCCCCAGAAAAGTGCCTGGTGTCTCACATGCTGCTCGGTGCCCGTTACCATCCCGGCCCAGGTGTGCCAGGCCCCTGGCTGGTGCTCAGTAACTCAGCAGGGACGGGGTGAGCACGCTGGGGGCGTCTGGGACACAGGGCTGAAGAGGGCAGAACTTCCTTTTTGAAAATGAGTGGTTGGTGCCTGACGTCTGTGTTCTGCGCCTCAAATGTCCCCACCTGTGCACAGATCCTGCAGGAGGTGGGGAGGAGACCCCTTCCTCCTCCCAGGCTGTGCCCCGGCTGGCTTGTGCACTAGTGCTTACGGCCTCCAGGGACCCACCCACCACCTGGTCTGCCGCAGACACACCAGGTGCCCTCCCATCCCTGCCACAGGTGAGGCTGCGCTGAGGTCACACCTGTGCACCGGACCGACCTCTCAGCCCCTTTCTAGCCTGGCTCTTGTCGCCATCCTGCCTGCACAGCCGTTCTCCATTCCAGTCCTGCCTGTCTCCTGCCGCCCTCCCCAGCCGGCCTAACACCGCTCCTCGAGAGCACGGTTTTTGTGGTGGTCGCTGGGGCATCCCCGTACCCAGGACAGGAGCAGACACCTCAGGGGGCTTGTGGCAAGAATTGAGTGGGTGAATGGCTGCTGGAGGAATGAGACTAATTCAGAAATGGGTTTGACGGGGTGCCTGGTGCTTCGAGGTTCACTTGCACATAGTGAATGTGGGTGGGTGGGCGGGGCTTCTCCTCTGAAAGCGTCCGTCTCTGGAGCCACATTTGACTCCTCCTGCTTTCTCCTGGTTCTCCTGGGCATTCTTTCATTTCGGTTTCGGAAACAGGACCCTCTGACACACATTTCTACTAATGCTGACTCTGCTAGTGTTTGAGACGACTATGTTGGGGGTAAACTATGGTGTTAAAAAAATCCAGGCTTAAAAAAAATTCCCACAGAATCACATCAGTACACGTAAGGTGTAGGTTTTAAGCTCCTTGGGGACTCAGTCGCGGGACGTCATCCGAGCTGCTCATGGTCACCGTGTTGTCCTGCTGTCGTCTGTTCCAGATGCCATAAGCTCCACTAACCCGCGGGTCATCGACGACGCCCGAGCAAGGAAGCTCTCCAGTGACCTCAAGAGGTGCACATACTACGAGACGTGTGCCACATACGGGCTGAATGTGGAGAGGGTCTTCCAGGACGGTGAGTACTCCTGCGCACACAGCATCTCTCCCCCACGCAGCAGGTCACTGACTGCCACAATGGAAGAAGCTTGTCGCACGACGTGTGGACATTAGTGTGACTGAGCGCTGTGTTCCAGATTCTCAAGTCTGTGCTCTTTAAAAGGGTATGTTCAGAAGACACAGCAAAACTACCCAAGCAATCCTACAGCGAGTTTGGTGTGTCACAGTATAAGACCTTTTCATGCACAAATAAGAAATTTCTCAAACTCTATGCACATAATGTTCAAACTTACACCTGCACCTTCTTTCTTCCCTGCAGTTGCTCATTCTTAATGCAAGCCCATCTTTAAAATTAGGTTTGACTATTTCCTGTTAGGCTTTGAGGAGGATAAACTAAGAGAGAGAAAGGTTAGAATGAAAAAGAGTAATAATAATCATCACCATCATCACACATTAGGACTCCTGGCTGAGAGCTCACTCCAGAACTCAGTGACCAGTCTTACTGCATTCATCATCGGTCACCTGCCCCCGGGGGCAGCCGCACACCCAGCAGGGAAGTGTCCTGGAGGGGCGTGAGGGTCCACATTCACATACACGGCTAAAATGCCCAATGGCGGGCTGCAGGCGGAGAGGGTGAAGGTGTATGGAGCTGGTGGGCGGGAAGGGTGGCCTCTGCTCTGCAGGGGTCAGGAAGGTCCAGGGACAAGCGGCCCTTTCAGCCTTGAGGACCTGGGAGGAGAACGCTCCTGGCCGAGGTCCGGTTTCTGATGGGAGTCGTGGGAAGTAAAGGCTCGTCTCCAGCCCTTCTGACTTAGGTCCGTGGTGCTGAGCCCGCCCTCGCACTGCCAGATCTGGTGCCGCGGAGCTGTTGGCGGCAGAACAGGGTGCCGGCGTGCCCTCTGCGGAGACTGGCCGGGCTGCTTCGCAGCCGTCCGGGCCCTGACGAGCCCACATCAGTCTGCAGGGGTGCCGGTGATAGGGCTGCACGTGGTGCCACCCGAGCGCTGTGTGCCTTGCTTTTACGTGTCCGGGTTAGTTTCCAGATGGAAACGCAGTCGTTCACACTTCCACCGCTTCCGTACTCTTCAAGCCTGGCCCTTTCTTCCCTTTTTCTCAGCAGCCAGGTCCCTTCCTGAGCCTGCCATCTCTCTCCTCTGCCTCACGGATGATTGCCAGCCTGCTGGTATTCAGCACATCTGTCCTGTCTGGTCCTTTGTGGGGCATGTGTGCCACTGCCTTTTCCAGTGCCCCTTTGAGGATGCTCAGGAGTCCCCTGAGAAGCAGTGCCCAGCCCCCGGGCTCAGTGCCCCCGTCTCTGCTCTCCTCACGTTTACCTGGCCTCCTGAGGCCACCCCACTTACAAGCTGCGGCAGGCTCGCGCAGGGCCAGCGCTGGCAGCAGCTGGGCATTACCAAGAACAGGAGGCATTAGCCAGGAAGCCCCTTGGAGCTCTCCCGGAGGTGGCTTCTAACAGGGCAGGGCAGTGTTTGCCCTTGAATAGCTGAGACTTCCATGGAAGTTAAAGGACTCCAGATGAGGGGCCCACGGGCCAGATGTGCCTGTGTTTGTAAATAGACGGTTTTTGGGAACCTAGCTGTGCTGTTCACGCCAGCTGCAGAGGGTGCAGGCTGGGCTCCTCTTCACCATGACCACAGAGTCTTTGCAGCAGAGCTGTGGCAGTCACAGCCTGACTCTCTGCCGTTTTACAGAAAGTTTGCAGGTCCCAGTGTGGGTGATTGGAGTTGAGTTATGTGGATGAGTTTATTCTCCACGATGATTGCTTCATGTGTACATTTATCGCCAGCATGAACTTCCTGTACAAATGAACCCATGAATAATCATCTTAAGGATTGATTAACATGAGGGGATGCCAACGTCATGGCATGTCCCCGCCCAGCATCCAGAATGTGAGCCCTTGGGCGGGCAGTGGCCCGTGTGCTGACACTTCTCTGCCCTCAGTAGTTGGAGCACTAAGCCAGAAACAACAGGAAGGATTGTTCCAAGTGTCATTATTTAAAAATATTAACACGTTCCCATTGCTGTAATAGGCCACGTGGTGCCTCTTCAGGCAGGGCTGTGATTGGAGGTGATGTGCTTGTGTGTTTGAATGTAATATGGTGAAGTACATACTCGTAGTGTGAATTTTTACAAGCTTAGATTTTCAATACATTCTATTATTTTAGAAATAATACATTCCCATTAAATATTTAGACTCTAAAGAGTTTGAAAAGGAAGAAATAGCCATGATACTGCAATTTCTGCTACTGTTAGGATTTTGTCCTTGAAATATTTTTGTTTGTATGAAGATAAGTTTTAAAAATACAATTGGGATTACCCTGCACATTTCATAGGGTAACTATATGATACATACTTTTGTTAAATCATAAAGCATTTAACTGTTAGTGGTAAAAGTAGTTGTTAACCAAGTGAGGACTAAGTTCTTAGAAACATTAATGGTAACAATCTATTCTAATCCTTATGGGGAAAAAAAACTTGTTTAGATGAAGTTAAACCAAAGCTCAGAAAAGTTATGTAACTTATGTAACTTGACCAAAGGTGCTCAGCCTGAATTAGACCTTCTGGAACCAAGAGCCTTGTCCACTCTCCTGGGGGGACGCTGGGCAGAGGATACATCCAGTATGTGGGCTCACTGCCCATTCATGGACCTGGGTTATCTGGATTTCTCCTTTGACTTGCTGGCTTCCTTTATGCCTTAGCGCTTACTTTTATTTATGTATTTTTTTGTATCTCTGCATTGTAAAAAAATAAGGAACAAGCATATAATTTCTATGTAATCCTTAGCTTATCTGGAAAACAGGCCTGCATGTTATACCACCTGCCTCTGCAGGTCAAGTCCTTAGTTGGCTGGTGACCCAGGTTTAGGTTTTAAGAGACCAAGGGCTTAGTCTTTGCCTCTTTAACTTCTGACTTCTTATTATCCCAAAGCAGAAGATAAATTGTGAAATCAGTGGGGGAAATTATGTGTTTCCTTTTCTCTCGCTTGTGTCGTTATCCAGAGACTGCTGCAAAGTACCTCAGGAGGGAGGGTCTTTGTTAGCACAGGGGTTGCAGGACACTGGGGAAGGAGATTGATTGATTCATTGATTCATTCCCTCATTCCCTCGTTGGAGGACCAGCCTTCCACACACTGCTTCTGGGTGGGGCTGGAAGAAAGGGAGCCACAGGTTCCTGCCTCAGTGAAGTGAAAGCCCGGCACCCAGAAGCGCCGGCGTGCCCCTTGCCTAAGTGTGACGGACTGGGCTGCTTTCTCAGGCCCGTTCATTCCCAGCAGTCTGCGTCCAGCCTTACTGGGAGGAGAACGCTCCTGGCCGAGGTCCGGTTTCTGATGGGAGTCGTGGGAAGTAAAGGCTCGTCTCCAGCCCTTCTGACTTAGGTCCGTGGTGCTGAGCCCACCCTCGCACTGCCAGATCTGGTGCCGCGGAGCTGTTGGCGGCAGAACAGGGTGCCGGCGTGCCCTCTGCGGAGACTGGCCGGGCTGCTTCGCAGCCGTCCGGGCCCTGACGAGCCCACATCAGTCTGCAGGGGTGCCGGTGATAGGGCTGCACGTGGTGCCACCCGAGCGCTGTGTGCCTTGCTTTTACGTGTCCGGGTTAGTTTCCAGATGGAAACGCAGTCGTTCACACTTCCACCGCTTCCGTACTCTTCAAGCCTGGCCCTTTCTTCCCTTTTTCTCAGCAGCCAGGTCCCTTCCTGAGCCTGCCATCTCTCTCCTCTGCCTCACGGATGATTGCCAGCCTGCTGGTATTCAGCACATCTGTCCTGTCTGGTCCTTTGTGGGGCATGTGTGCCACTGCCTTTTCCAGTGCCCCTTTGAGGATGCTCAGGAGTCCCCTGAGAAGCAGTGCCCAGCCCCCGGGCTCAGTGCCCCCGTCTCTGCTCTCCTCACGTTTACCTGGCCTCCTGAGGCCACCCCACTTACAAGCTGCGGCAGGCTCGCGCAGGGCCAGCGCTGGCAGCAGCTGGGCATTACCAAGAACAGGAGGCATTAGCCAGGAAGCCCCTTGGAGCTCTCCCGGAGGTGGCTTCTAACAGGGCAGGGCAGTGTTTGCCCTTGAATAGCTGAGACTTCCATGGAAGTTAAAGGACTCCAGATGAGGGGCCCACGGGCCAGATGTGCCTGTGTTTGTAAATAGACGGTTTTTGGGAACCTAGCTGTGCTGTTCACGCCAGCTGCAGAGGGTGCAGGCTGGGCTCCTCTTCACCATGACCACAGAGTCTTTGCAGCAGAGCTGTGGCAGTCACAGCCTGACTCTCTGCCGTTTTACAGAAAGTTTGTAGGTCCCAGTGTGGGTGATTGGAGTTGAGTTATGTGGATGAGTTTATTCTCCACGATGATTGCTTCATGTGTACATTTATCGCCAGCATGAACTTCCTGTACAAATGAACCCATGAATAATCATCTTAAGGATTGATTAACATGAGGGGATGCCAACGTCATGGCATGTCCCCGCCCAGCATCCAGAATGTGAGCCCTTGGGCGGGCAGTGGCCCGTGTGCTGACACTTCTCTGCCCTCAGTAGTTGGAGCACTAAGCCAGAAACAACAGGAAGGATTGTTCCAAGTGTCATTATTTAAAAATATTAACACGTTCCCATTGCTGTAATAGGCCA